TAACAGTACTTACTTATTTCATGGGTTCCAAATGTTCATTTTTAAAAACTCAGCAATTAAATAATTCTCATATAAAAATGGAATGACATATCATTTAGAAATATTTATTCCAAAGTTGTTTCAATTCATTTTACACTCATTTATCTTGTCAGTATGTCAGTGTCATGAAATAACTTTGTTCTGTACATCAGCAACACAAGATACACGAGCAACACAAGAAAATAAAGGTTGAATGAATGAAAAAAAAAATTCAAAACTATTTTTATTTTGTTAAGAGTATAAGTGTATAGGACTTACTTGTTATGTACATGAGGGAACTTAAGCCCACCACCAAAGCTCTAATAACTTGTTTCACATCGTGTGCTCAAACTTGTGATTGATCCTTTTCGTCCTCTAGAAATGCACAGGTTTAACATGACAATGTTGCTTTGAACCTCATTGTGTCTAAATTTCAGTGTCATAAATAACCACAGTATTGTATTATCCTCGACATCCTCATTTCCATGAGGCATTTGTTATTTAAGTGCTGATTGAAACAAAAGAAAAAAACTTCTCTGTAGATATATTATAAAGGTGGTTACATGTTTTATGTGCCATAATAAATTTTGTCCTGTCTCTCTTGTATTTTTTAACTAATATGTTGACTTAAATTGAGATGTGTTTAACAAAAATGTATTAAGTCGTAATGGATAAAGTGAAGGATTTATGAAATGCAGCATTTTTACCTATTAACCATTCGAGCATGCACAGTTACGCGGTGAGACATCTTTGTTAGCGGGAGTGATTAACTTTATGATTGAAGAACTGATCCAAATTCATTTAAATATTTATTCAACATTTTACTATCAACATTTTTTAAATAAATTAACATCGTAAGCACCGTGTATTTATGCATACCAGTAATTTAAATTACGGTACAATGTGCTAACAACTAACAAGCAACTGTTTTTTAATGACACCACAATCAACGAAGTTCGTAGAGTTGGCGCAGAATTTAAAATATTGGACTGATTTTGGAGGGCAGCACGGTGGCGCAACTGGTAGAGCTGCTGCCTCTCAGCCAGCGAGCAGGTCCCTGGTTCAAACCCCGGTCCAGGGGCCTTTCTGGGTGGAGTTTGCATGTTCTCTCCGTGCATGCGTGGGTTTTCTATGGGTACTCTGGTTTCCTCCCACAGTCCAAAAACATGCATGTTAGGCTGAATGGTAACTCTAAATTGTCCCTAGGTGTGAGTGAGAGAGTGAATGGTTGTTTGTTCATTTGTCTCTATGTGGCCCTGTGATGGACTTGCGACCCGTCCAGGGTGTACCCCGCCCCTCGCACAGTGATTGCTGGACATGGGCACCGGCGACCCCCGTGACCCAAAATGGAATAAGCGGGTAAAGATAATGGATGGATGGACTGATTTTGGACTTTTTGATTTTGAATTTTGAAAAATGCAGATTTCGGTTTGTGAATGGTTCGGATGGGAAGGCATGCATGTAGGACAGAGGGTGATGTGGATTTTTAGGGGTGAACACCGGGAGTGGGAGAGGATGAGGTAAAATGGAGGATGGGAGTAGAAAACGAGAGTTGGAATGAAGCATTTCGGATGAAGACAGGATGGAAAAGTACGTAGTGAGGGAGGAATTTAAAATAACATTAAAACTAAGGAACAATGAGGAGCACGGTAACATAAGCCTCATGTTGATATTTAGTTATCTTTTTTCTTCTTTTGGCTTTTCGCTGAGTGGCCTCAGTGAGTCCTCCTCCATCTCACTGCCCTCAATCCAACTACTTCCACGTCCTCTCCAACTGCATCCATATATTTCCTCTTTGGCATTTATCTTTTTCCTGACAGTTGAATTTCTAACATTCTTCTACCAGTATTCCCACTGGACATGTACAAACCATCTCAGTCTGGCCTCTCTAACTTTTATCTCCCAGTTGTTCAACCTGTGCTGTACCTCTGATGATCTCATTCCTAATCTTATCCATCCTTGTCACTCCTAAGGAGAACCTCATCTTCATTTCTGCCACTTCCAGTTCTTTATCCTGTCTTATTGTCAGTGCTCCTGTCTCCAGAACATACAACATAGCTGGTTTCACCACTGTCTTGTAAATTTTTCCTTTGACCTTTGCTGACACCCTTTTGTTGCAAATCACTCCTGAAACTTTTCTCCATCCACTCCATCCTGCCTGGACTCTCTTTTTCAACACTCTACCACATTCCCCATTTTCCTGGACAGTGGACCCCAAATACTTGAAGTCCTGCACCTTTGTGACCTCTGCTCCTTATGCACCCCATAATGTCAGAGTCAGAGATTCTTTATTGTCGTTCGCACCACATGTGGTACATGTGTGAATGAAATTATGTACACAGGGTCCCAGTTGCATCCAACAATAAAATGTAAAAGAAAAACAATGATAACATCTAAGATATGAACTAAGAAAAACAACTAAAAATACACTAAGCACGAATAGCATAAAAAATTTCGTCGAACAGCAGCACAAACATGAGCATGAGTCTGTGTGAGCAGATGAGCATGCATGAACACATCAACATGAAACAGATCAGCAGCAGCATGATGTAATTTTTCACAGTGATTATTCTGGTTAGAGATTCATGAGTCTAACAGCCTCAGGGTAGAAACTGTTCCTCAGTCTAGTGGTTCTACACTTAATGCTCCTCAACCTCCTACCTGAGGGGAGCGGGACAAAAAGTGTGTGTGCTGGGTGAGTGGGGTCCTTCATGATGCAGGTGGCTCTCCCTGCATCTGGAGGTGTAGATGTCTGTGATGGTAGGGAGACCAACTCCAACAGTCTTCTGTGCAGCCTTCACCACTCTCTGTAAAGCTTTTCTTTCTGCAGCTGTGCAGCCTCCATGACACACGTTGATGCTGGAGCACAGGATGCTCTCCACTGCACACCTGTAGAAGGAGGTGAGGACTGAGCTTCCCAGTCCAGCTCGTCTCAGCTGCCTGAGGAAGTAGAGTCTCTGATGAGCTTTCTTGATCAGGCTGGTAGTGTTGTTGCTCCAGCTGAGGTTGTCATTCATGTGTACACCCAAGTACTTGTAGCTGGAGACCACTTCCACCGCAGATCATCTTATGTTCAGGGAGGTGTAGATATGTTTGTTCCTTCTGAAGTCCACAATCCTCTCCTTTGTCTTCTTCACATTGATGTGAAGGTTATTCTCTTTGCACCAGCTCTCCAGGTGTTCCACCTCTTGCCTGTAGCTGGACTCATCATTGTTTGTGATGCATCCCACCACCACTGTATCATCTGCAAACTTTACAATGTGACAGCCTGGATGGGTAGGTGCACAGTCATACGTAAGCAGAGTAAACAGGAGAGGGCTCAACACACATCCCTGAGGTCTACGTCACTATGTGCTTGTTTGTGCGAGGTGTTTTTTTCATATTAGTTTTCTTCTCAGCCAAGAAGAAAGAGTCTGATAGGATTTTTTTCACCTCCAATTTCTACATGTCCAGTTTCATTACTTTTTTTGTCTGTCTAAACAGATCTCACTTGTAAATGAGTCTTCTAGGCTCAGTGTGACTTATCTGTCTAAATAAAG